CAGATGTTGGGATCCTAGGTAGCGGCGCTACCTGCAAGTGCCTGAAGCTAACTGCAACCCTTGGTCAGAAGGTCTTATGCAGCTAATGCAGGCTTAGGTGAAGTAGCAAATTTCAATTTTTCCGAATACATTTTGCAATATATACCGACCAGATTTAATAAGAGTCGTACCCGAGACGTAAAATCATCAAATGATGCCATCAAAAACTTAAACGTTCCTGTTCTGTGTAGTGGCCGAATTTTATTCATCAGCGGACAACTTTGTCGGCTTGATATGTGAAAATTTTCGAGCAATTGGGTTTGAGCAAATTAGCGGAGACTCAATTTTGACAATATGAAACATAATTAAAAAAAAATGTTTGTGAAGTTACTCTGAGCGTGTACCCACACCGGGCAAGCCTGAAAAACACGCCTGGCCACGGTGGGAACCAAAACCACGACCCAGGGGTCGTGGGTTCCCAAGGGGTCGTGGGTTCCCAAGGGGTCGTGGGTTCCCAAGGGATCGTGGGTTCGGTTCCCACCGTGGCCAGGCGTGTTTTTCAGGCTTGTCCGGTGTGGCTACACACTCAGAGTAACATCACAAACATCATATTCACCTGAGTACACAACACCAACACTGCAAATCTTAAAAAATGTCTTCGGTGCCTGGTCCCCTGTTGTATTAATTTGCAAGCTTCAAGCGAAGCGGGCAAGTTTGGACCACGCAGGGCTAACTGAAAATCCTTTTTGGCTACGCCTGCAAAAAAACTAAATATACAGGCATGGCTTGAGCTCAACAACTTGAGTTGTACTGTGTAAATCAAGCATTCGCCCGGCGTTTTATCGTTTTTAATACAAAAAGACAAAAGTCGTGTAGCGTAAATCGCACTTTATGTGTTTCGAAAGGGTTTGACAAGTTATTTTTGCATTGTTGCGATCAATTTGACGTCCACGAATGGCTTGATATGTTGGAACCTTTATAATTCTTAATTCCTTAGATTGCGTATCACAGAAATTCTGGTAATTCCGAATACAACCTCGAAACCCAGATAAGAGATTGCCTCTCAAATGTCAGATGATTGCTAGATGATTGCCCTCCTGCCTGAACCAATGACACCCCTCCCCCCCTGGTTCCCTCTCCCCCCTCCTGAATAATACATAACCGCTGACTTTTCATCACACTACCCGCGGGCACAAAAAAACGCTGCCCAGCTCGTCAAGTGAAAATGGAACAACTTTCGAAAAAAATGAAGATTTTAAAGCCTTCTATTCAAACTATTTAAAGATACAACAGTCTTGATATAACAACTACAAACTCCTGAGGTGCCCTACAAGACTTTGCAAAGACAAAATGAGTGGAAACATGGACACGAAAGAGAAACTCTTGCGCGAAACTGAAGCGATGCTACGAGCGGTCCTCATAAGCAGCCCTCGCGGAGTTCGCTTCGAAAAGCTGCTGCGCGATTATAGAGAATTGACATTTAAAACGATACCGTTCAAGGAGCTTGGCTTTCCCAGACTGGAGCACTTTCTGCAAAGCATTCCTTCAGTGGCCAGGGTCGAAAAAGGCCCAGACGGCGAGTGGATTGTTAAGGGAGTCGCCTCTGACGCTGACAAACACGTGGCCAAACTGATATCAAAACAGAAGAAACCCACCCTTCGGAAATCTGCAAAGTCGATGTTTCCCAAACGGAGGGTTATGCCCCGTCCCCCAAGGATGAGCACCCCTGTCAGAAAGCCGCCTCCAAGACTCGCAATCTCGAGGACGACATCGAAATATGTCCCCCCGCCGCGCATGCAAAGGCTGCAAGAAACGCAGAATAGAAATGAGTGGGCCCATTCCGGACAGAGAAACATGAAACCGGGAAAAGGTAGGGGTGATTGGTGTAGTTGGGGGGGTGTCTTTGGAGGGTTCTGCGTGGGGTCCACTCCGGTTGCACCTCCTTTGCCAAGTCTACGAGGAGTGGGCACCCCACATCCCAATAAATAGTCAGATTAACCCATTGAGTGGCAACACTCTCCCCTTGACGAGTAAAATCATCTGGCTTTGGACCGAATGAAATAACAAGGTGTCAAGGTAGGATGCATCGGCAATGGGCCTTATGCAGGTTTCCGTCCAATCTCCAGGAATTCCAGTTACAATACTAGACGTTTTATATGTTGTTAACTTTATACCATTGTTATGAGTGCTCACCAAAAATTTTTGAATCAATACGATTAATTGCAACTGAGTTACAGCATCTTGAAAAATAAAATTGCTGACATCAGCATTATGTTGGAACGCCTTCAGAAACTAAAATTTAGTGAAAAGTTCGGTTGAAGCGAAGCGTTCCTCTTTTGAGTTTCAAAATTGATTGCAATTTTCTTCATTACTTTTGCAATTTAAAAAACTCCCTTGCAAATCCCTTGAGGAAATTTGCAATGTTGCTAAAACCCAATTAAATTTTCCTCAGTTCCTGTTAGAAGTTCCTAACTTCCTGTTACAAGTTCTTAACTTCCTGTTCTGTTCTGGGCGTTGCAATTGGCTAACAAAAATAATCGACCAATAACAACGCTCAGAACAGAACAGGAAGTTAGGAAATTAAAACAGGAAGTTAGGAAAATTTAAAATGAAGTTTGTTTGCATTGGAATATTGCAACAGCCGATAGGAACATTGCAAATTCCCTCAACGGATTTGCAAAGAGTTTTTCAAATTTGCAAACCTAATGAGGAAAATTCCAAATGAGTTACGAAGTCAAAAAAGGAACGCTTCACGTAGTTTACCTGTAATATCTGATATAAACAAAAATTTTAACATTTTGGCTCAAACTCTCCTTTTATTTTTAATTAGCATTTGATTTTTGGATAAGCACTTGGTGGTATAAAATTGGCCATTTTATACCACCAAGCATTTATCCAAAAATCAAATGCTAAAATAAAGGCGAGTTTGGGCCAAAATGTTTAGATTCTTGTTTATATCAGCTGGTAAGAAGTCCCGTCTTAGCCAAGAATTTTTAACTAAATTTTGTGTATAACACAATTTCTGAAGGCATTAATGCTGATGTCCACACTTCTATTTTTCAAGACACTGTAACTCAGGAGGAATTAATTTTATTGATTCAATACTTTTGTTGAACACTCGTAATAATGATATAAACAACATACATATAAAACGTCCAGTATTGTAACTGAAATTCCTGGAAATTGGACGGAAACCTCCTTATGTATTGCTTGATTGGTAGTTATGCCATTTTATTCTTTAGAAAATGCTATCGGAAAGTCTTGTGTATCAGGGAGTTTGTTTAGAAAAGCAACAGATGACGTTAAAACTTCCAGAAGTAATGAAGCAAAACGTCGGTTGAGTTCATCATCATCGAAAGGTTAATAGTGTTCTTAGTGTAATAAATTTTTAACCATACAAAGGATGATAAATTATTTCAAAAAGTGCATGCAAGTTGATGCTTTGATGCCTGATGTTTCAAATTTTACTTCTAGAAACTCCCAAGTTATCAGTTAGTATTTCAAATACAAGCAAAGAACGTAGTGTCACTGCCGTTACTTCGCCCGAGCGGCCTGCAGCTTCGGGTGTTTTGGAGGATGTGGCATCTGTCAAGTGGATGAAGGCTGAAATTCTCAAAGCTCAAAGTGGATTGTGGGCCACAAGATTGGAACATTTATACAAAGAGAAATTCAAGAAAGTTTTACCAACGAGTTTCATCCAAGAACTGAAGTTTAGACCTGATATTGCGACAGTCGAGGAACCAATTGCTGGACGTTATTTACTTTATGCACCACGGAAACCGAAGGTATGGCAGAGGTGTTGTTGGGTACTGTCGTTATAGACAGCGAGCAGTCCCTCAGGAGAAAGGAGGGACTGACCACAACAGGGATGGATTTACTGGGGGGGGGGGGTGCACCCCCTTAGCCCTAGACTTGCTCCAAGTCTCTCTTTCATTGTCATATATTATCGATCCACTATAGTGTACATTACATGACGTAGTACAGAGGGGCGAAGCGAGAAAGAGAGACTTGTCAACTTCGAAAATCTCGGTTCAAAACTGAACCGAAAATGCAAGACTTGCTTTAATTGTTTTCCTTCAATTTCTTTCTGTGTATTTACTATAATGGCATTCATGTTATTTACACTGCTAGATCAATACATATAAACACTGACAGAAAAGAATTAAAGCAAGTCTTGCATTTTCGGTTCAGTTTTGAACTGAGATTTTCCGAAGTTGACAAGTCTCTCTTTCTCGCTCCGCCCCTCCTTACTACGTCATGTAATGTACACTATAGTGGATCGATACTATATGTCAATGAAAGAGAGACTTGGAGCAAGTCTACCTTAGCCCTGGCCAGGGGGGGTGCTATTTTTCATGATAAAGCAAAAAATTATTAGAAACCAAATGAGATACAGTAATTTGTGTAATAACATGATGATAAGCAAACTGTGAACAACAATTACAATTCAAATACAATAGTCAAGCAAGACTTTGTAGTAGTGAAGCAAGTTGATGGGCTGGCGGCACACATGACCGACATAACTCGGCACCAGAGCTGGCAGAGCACCCCCCCCCCCCTACCGGGCTGGCAGAGCACTCCCCTAGCACCATCCCTGGCCCAAAACACATCAAGAAACAAAATACATGTTGCCCACACAAAGCAAAATTCCCACATAATAATAACCCTCAGTGTTGCAAGTATGTATTTGATAGTGCATCACCGATATGGAAATTCACCTATATTCCGATAGCTGATTTTGAAGGACTGATATTTGCCGATTCCGATATTCTATGTCATTTCACAAAATTCAAAGATAACATCATGACAGTTCTACTTTAATACTTTTGAATTTAATTAAATTTATTTGTTTCTAAACACTGAAAATACCAAAGACTCTACAAACTAGTACATTACTATGCCACTGACAGTTTATTTGTAATAAAAAAATAACCAATCATTAATTAATATTTAATTAATAACAGTTTGTAATATTGGTAATATAAATAACAAAATTACCGATACTGATATTTCTATTTTAGTGCCAATACCGATACACCGATGTGGATATCAGTGTATCACTAAGGCGAGACTTTTTTTATTTATTGGTTTACGGATTTGACTTTAAAAATAAGAGGTCGGTAGGTCGGAAAAGTATAAATGAGAACCAAAATTAATAATCTTTATAAAATTAAACCCCCGCAAAAAAAGTGGCTAATTTCCATATTGATTGTCACAACAATAACATGAGCCAGCAGTACTTAGAGTCAAAGTTTACTTGAAGTGCACTTCATGTCAGAACCCCAAATTAATTAAAATTAACTAAAATTGTAAAATTTTTGACATCCAAATTTTTTTTTTGTTTTTCACTTTCTGAATATTTACGGTCGGCGGATCCATAAACCAATGAATAAAAAAAGTCTCGCCTAATATTTGAATATAATTTAATTACTGTATCTTACAGCCTCCTCCAGCTCCAGCCCAGAATAGCCAACAAGATACAATTCAAGTGAATGTCAATCCAGACATTGCACTGCCATGCTTCTTTCCAGAGATTGGGTAAGCTCGTTTGTACAGTAGGGTGAGGCGGCTATTAACCCATTGAGTGGCAGCAGTCTCCACTTGACGAGTAAAATCATCTGGCGTTGCACAGAGTAAAATACTAAAGTAGGGCGCATCAGGGTGCATTGCCACCTAAAGGATTAAGATGATGCAAGGGTTAAGATGATGCATGGGCACTCCAAAAATTGACTTTTATTTGCATGACTACAGCAACATGGTTTATTAATACCACCTTCAGCTTTTCTGATATGCCATAAGTTTGTCGTTCAATTTTTCAGACAATCTGTTATTGTCTACATATCTCATACGGAGAATCCAAGTTGTTTCTATGTGAGTCGCGAAGATGCAATATCGGAAATGTTGAGTGAGGAAATACTCAAGCATTACAAGGTAAATGTCTGGTCATCTATTTTTTCCTCAAACCAATTAGCAAACCACCACACCTTCGGATCTCTTCATTCCATAATATCTCTGACCAGGTGTCCATCATCTCTTATTATTTAACAATTATTCACCGAAGGCGAGGTGTTTATCGGGGAATATCTCAACCTTGCTTCCCTCACCTTCTCTGCAATGTCTACCATCCCACATCATCTTCTGATCTCTTCATTACATAATGTTTCTGACCAGCTCTCTTTCATCTCTTCTTATTATGTGTCCATACCATCTCAACCTTGCTTCCCTCACCTTCTCTGCAATGTCGACCACCTCACATCTTCTTCTGATCTCTTCATTCCATAATATCTCCGACCAACTCTTCTTATTACGTGTCCGGTGTCCATACCATCTCAACATTGCTTCCCTCACCTTCTCTGCAATGTCTACTACCCCACATCTTCTGATTTCTTCATTCCATAATGTCTTTGTAATACCAGTATAACATTTTCATTGTCAGTCAACTCATCATAACTCAGACGCCATACCATCAGTGTCGCCTGGACAGATATTTTGTGCTAAATTTACGGAAGATGGCAATTTCTACCGCGCCTGTGTCCTAGAAGTGGTCGACCACAAGAATATCAAAGTTCAGTATGTTGACTTTGGTAATAAAGAAGTTATACCAGTTGACAGACTCCGTGTTCTCATCAGTGAGTTCCAAACACAGCCAGTACAGGCTTTCGAATGTTGCCTTGATGGAATAGACCCAGCAAATCAGGTGGGTGTATATCTTTGCAGAGGTAACCGTTATTACCGGTAACCGTGAAATACTGTAAAAAAGCACATTGTCACATGGTACAAATGATGTTTTTTGATTGGACAATTTGAATTTGAGGTATAATATTGCTTATGGTACCGGTAACCAGTATCCAGGGGGCGATTGTTCAAAGGTGGGTTAGCGCTAACCCTGTGTTAAAATTTAACAAACTGTTTTAGTTGATGTATTTCTGCATGTCAGTTTATTTCAAAACATCAGAGAATTAAACTAGCTCCTATCGATCTAGACAAGATCTCTGAAGAAATATTTCCAAAATGATAGACAAGCTGTGAGGAAGTTTGCTTTTAATTTTAGGTTAACCCAGGGTTAAGCTAACCCAGCTTTGAACAAGCGGCCCCAGAAGTGGGATACTGGATTCTCAGGGAGGGGGGGGGGGTACTAAACTTTGAATCCTGGTATCCCAATCGGATAGTAAGAGAAAATATAAATTTCAGACCCTGGCAGGTGGGCACTGCACAAAAAAGTTTTTCAGGCCCATGCAAGAATATGATTGAATTGATTCAATTGCAAAGTTTATTTAAAATCATAATGTAACTTTTTTTCTAAAACTTTGTTGCCTTTCCTGTATGTGAAGATATTGGACTTTGTTTGGACATGCAAATGTGACTTAAATGACTTCACACTGCATAATGTATTTTACAGAAGAGTGTTTTTTAGCTTGATAAAATTGTCATTAACTCGAATTTGCTGACGAAATGATAGCTTTGATATAGCTCTTAAAGTATGTAACTTTTAATGTCAGTGGAATTATCACATATTTGGCAAGGAAACGTTTTCTTTCTAAAAACTCATTATGCAGTGTGACGTCATTAATTAAGTCACATTTGCATGCCCAAACAAAGTCCAATATCTTGACATACAGGAAAGATAACAAAGTTTTAGAAAAAATGTTACATTATGAATTTAAATAAACTTTGCAATTCAATCATAAAAAATTCTTGCATAGGCACTTTAAGATAAATAATTATTTTTAGGCTCAGGAATGGAGCAAGGCTGCCGTTACTAAATTTGACGACCTAACCAGTGAAAAAGAATTAAAAATGACACTGCACGAAGTTGATGGTAAAATATATTAATTTTTGTATTTTGTCGAATATCATGTTGTTTTTTTAAAGTTGAAGTTAAGTGCTCTCATCCTGTTTTCGTTTGATATTCCGTCTAAGTTAGGTTTTCGTTTTGTTTTTTATTAGGTAAAGTGTTGAGCGTTTCTCTTGTTGATGTGTCGTCGCAATTAGACATTGCAGAAGAAATGAAGAAATCAGGCTTGGCGATTTCCTCGAAAAATTTGGAATCAACCCCCTCGTCGTCGTCATCGTCGTTGTCATCTTCATCAGGGTATAGGCACCAGATATAAATATCTGTACGAAAAACACCTGGTTTAGAGCGCTGCTAACATATGCATGTTCCCAGGGACATGGGGTGTATGGAGGGGGTGTTAGTATTGGGGGGGTAACCCCTAACCACTTCATCTGATTCTTACTGGCCCTCTGTACATAGTCTGTGAAGATATGATGGTCTGGAAGCCCATCAAACTTCAAAGCTATAAAATAGAAAACCTTTGTTTGATGTTGAACTGTACCTAGCTGTGCACAAATCCTTTGTCTCATCTTCATTAAATATTATTCATCGTGGTTGTACGTTTCACCTCAGCTATCCCTATTGGATGATTACTTCATTATACGAAAATACAATGAGCTCAATCACCGTGACCGTACACAAATGAGCATAAACTCAGACAAAAACATAATACAATAAATTCTGTTTATTTTCCAGGCCATCATATCTTGATAGACTATGCTCTGTAGGGGCCCCCCCCAATAATTTTGAAAGACTGTAAAAATGTTGTACCAAATAACACAAATCACACTCGTATAACGTAATTGTTATCATACTATATGCTTCTGTACATGTCACAACATACGCATTTTATGCACTCTTTTTGACGGATACTAGGGGGTAAATATTTTTTCTGAAATGTTGGTTTTCTATGCTTAGCATCAATAGCATGTGATTTACAACAAAATGAACTATTAAAACAGTGTTTTGAAAACTTTAGTTTTTTTACAAAATGTGTTCTCAGAATGCCGCAAATGCCATTTCCAGGATTGAAATTTTAAAATTCAAATTTCGTAAAGTTTCCGCCACTGGAATTAGTATAGTTGAGAACGGATAGAGCTATTCAATTTTAGCTTAGGTTTCATCCTGTATCTAAGTGTAACACTGGACCAGTGAGGGATGAATCTTACTGGATCTGTAGGCAGTTTAGAATATTAGAGCTATCCAATAAAAGACGAGTTTTATTATCAGAAACTTTAATATGTTTAGAACTGCTCTGGAGAAATCGCCACCAAGGACAGAAAATGTTGCCGCTTCGCGATCGCGTCGTCTAAAGTCCAAGTCTCCAGGTATTTTGAATTTAATTTATCTAACTTTGCCTTGGTCATCTTGATCAACTTTTTCACTGTCAAACATTCCGGATATGCATTATATCATTGTGGTGAATTTTTGGTACAAAAGAAAACTAATTTGCAATTCGTGAAAAAGTTGACCGAGATGGAATAAAGATATACAGGGTGTCTAAAGAAAAACGCTATGGGAATTCAACAGGCTGTTGTGCATCAGAAACTTAACTAAACAATTCAATTTTTACATAGGACGAAAGAGCTGTTATTTAGCTTTTCTATGATATATTTCTTAAACCGTAACGATGAGAAATGGCCACATACTCGTCAAATAAAAATTTTCGGTCGAAATCACATTCTTCCACCGTTGGGAATTGAAAATACATTAATTATGCAAAGTTAATCAATCCAAAAGCACCGCGAGTCTGCTGGAAGAATGTGATTTCGACCGGCAATTTTTATTTGACGAGTATGTGGCCATTTCTCATCGTTACGATTTAAAAAGAGTATCATTGAAAAGCTAAATCACTGTTCTTTCGTCCTATGTAAAAATTGAATTGTTTAGCCACGTTTATGATGCACGACAGCCTGTTGAATTTCCATAGCGTTTTTTTTTAGACACCCTGTATTACATTTCTTTTTTGAATGACCCGAATATTACACATACAAAAAGTTATACTTTGGATTGGTCAGACTTTAATACATTACGCGCTTTATTATAATAATCTTTTGTAGGTATTGTTGAGCTTCCTGACGATCAGTTTCTTGATGTGCTTGTGTGTAATATCACTGGAACTTACAACGTCTATTTACGTTTGGTTGGAGAGGAGTACTCGGTGGGTTGTGTACTATTTCTCATATTCTACTTGGTCCGCTAAAACGGGGGTTGAATTTTGCGCCATTCCCTAATCCACGTACCGGTATAGTAAAGTATGGTTTAAAACATTTCTAGATATAACTGGAGTAGTGATATAACGTGAATATGTATTCTTGACAATTTTAGACAAAATTTGAAGGAATCCAGGAGAGCATGACATGTTACTACAGTGATTCAAAAGGTAAATTTTAAACTTATTCACAAGCTTTTGTTGTAACATCCTGTTGCCTTGTATCAGTTAAAGTTGACTTGGTTAATGATGTCGTCATATCATCATATCATGTATATATGCATGAACTTGTGGTTAGAGTTCAACTGGCCTCTGTAGCTCAGTTGGTTAGAGTACTGCACCGGAATCGCTGCCATGCAGAGGGCCTATATCAATTCCTGTAATGCTATTGTTTGTAGAAACACCACGTAAAATTTACGTGGTGTTTCCACAAACAATAGTATTATATGTTTTTTCGCCATGCAAAACCTACAAAGAACTTATATCAATTCCATCAACAAAACCCACATTGTTTTAGAGGCAGTTACGACAGAGCCTGTTGTTGACGATTTGTTTGCGCTGATTTCTGAGGATGTCTGGTGTCGAGTTAAAGTGACTGGTGTGAATGGCGAGAAAATACAAGTATTCTTCGTCGATCATGGCGATGAAACTGAGACAACTAAGGCTGAGCTGAGACCTTTGGCATCTCAATTCCGAAAACTGCCTTTCCAGGTGCGTTCAGTTTCGAAAATCATTGTTTTGATGAAAGGAAATGTTGTTTTTTTAGTTTTTCTAATTTTTGAAAACTGACTCGGGGGGGGGGGGGGGGGGGGAGGATACAGGACCACCAAAGGTGGGACCACAGGGCCAAAGGGGGAACTATGCATTTAAGAAAAATTCTCAAACTCGTAACAAGTTTTTATGAGTTCAAAATCATTGTTTTGATGAAATAAAGTGTGTTTTTTTACCATCCATAACAATTTTGGATTATTTTTTCTAATTTTTGAAAAATGACTTTGAAACCGAAGTGGGGACCTCGTGGTCAAAGGGGAGACAACAGGACCATGCGGGAAGCAGTTGTCACAAACCTTTATGAGATTTGATGTAACTATTTCAGGTATTTCAATGTGCTTTGAATGGATTACCAAAGACGAAAAATCCAGACGTTGTTGACAAGTTAGAGAAGTTGATTATGGGTGAAGTGGCTGTCGCTGAGATTGTGAAAAAGTAAGTCTCACAATCTTATGGCACAGCTTCACAATCTTATTTCACAAGCCCGCTTTTCCGGCACATGTTAGGGTTAGGGATGAAGTATTTTTACCATTTTGTCCGTGCATCATTCTTTAGGACGGGTGATCTTGTGTTTATCGAGCTGTTGGACACGAGAACTGATGCAAATATTGTTGTGAACGCTGTAATTCGAAAGTTAGTTATTCCTGATGAAGAGTTGAAGCCTGTTCTGCCGAAGGTAAAATAGCCAGAAATCTAAACGGTCGACTGTTTCTATAATTTTTAAAGACTTTCATGTGCTTGTTTCTTCTTATCGATGTGTGCGTTTGTCTGTCTGACCAAAGACAATCAAAGGAATTCCTTTGATTGTCTATGGTCTGACAGAAAGATAACTTAAAACGTATCGAAAATGTATACGCGAAAGTTTCTTGAGCTCCACACGCAAAAATCTCACATCTTGTAACAGCTTGTCAACAAGCACTGCTTGTCCCAAGTTGTCAACAAGTTTGGAATAAGCTGTTAACAATTTGTGACAAGCTTGATGGTATTATCAGACTTGTTGCAAAGTTGTTTTAACAAATCCGATACAGTCATGGTAAAAAACAATACTGTTACAATGTTGTGTGATCAACCTTGTAACATTCTTGCAAAACGCTAAATATTGTGTTTTCCACGAAACGGATGGATTACATTTATTGTAATGAAAACCTATAGCGAATTTGTTTTAAAGTGCGGCTAATCCCATGTATGAATTTTGGTATGTGTAATATTTGGGTCATTGTAAGAACAAACGTAATGTATCTTTATAGTAAAAAACCTCATCTTAATCAACTTTTTCGATGTCAAAGTTTCCGGATATGATGTCATTAGGTGAATTTTTGGGGAAAAAAAAACAAAGGAAAACTAATTCGCAATTCGCCTAATGACATCATATCCGGAAACTTTGACAGTGAAAAAGTTGATCAAGATGAGGTTTTTTACTATAAAGATACATACATTCTTTCTTCGAATGGCCCAAATATTACACATACCAAAAATCATATTTGGGGTTAGTCAGACTTTAAGAATTTTTGTCGAGGATTGACATGTTTCTCCTCTGTAGGTTGGCAGGACAACGGACGTGGATATCGCGTATATTTCACCGACGGGATCTGTGTTCCTTCACGTGTCTGCCGCTGGAAGTAAAAGATTGGACGAACTCAACAGAGATCTTACTGACCACTACTTGTCCAAGGTAAGACGAATGGGGTCTGTCACAGCTCGGAGCATGCCCAGGGTCTTAGCCAGGATTTCAGATTTCGCCTAAAGTGCCCTATTTAACAACTTGATGGAAATCCTAAACGTTGAAGTTTATATAATTTGCTTACTTTGTAGCGGTCGAAAGCCAATGAGTTTATTTCGAAGCCAACAGCGGGAAAGGTTTGCTGTGCGAAATGCGAAGATGATGGGAACTGGTATCGAGCTAAGATCCTTTCATTCACTGATAGAGATGTGAGTTTTTGAATAAGACTTTGTAAATTGTACGAAATAATTTATTTATAGCGATGACTGCAGAGGTCCATTGAGGGCCATAAATCTTAACGAATGGTCCAATGTAAAGTTTTATTACGGCAAAAATAAAGTACGGTTGACAATTTTTCCTCGCCAAGAAGCCTTGTTCCAAAGCTGGTCATGCGAGCTTTTGGACAAGGAAAATCTGTTCGTGTGTACGACCGCCAAGGAAAACTTGACAAGTGTACAAGAAATACTTTTTTCTATAGTTTTGATTCTCTCATCACATATCACGTACCTAAAACCAAAACATTATGCCAGCAGAACAGTTATGTGGCGAGAGTTGCAAGGATATGAAATACTCTTCCAGAAGAGTTACGCGAACCGGACATTTCGTTCACAAGTTTCAAGAACATGTTGCTCAACTACTACATGAGAGCCACCGGAACAATCTTTGACTTAGATAAGCCACAGTCATGGAAAACTGTATGTCTGAAATGCCACAAAGCAAGACACTTACTAACTCCAAAGGTCTGCTGTTATTAGTTAGTTTCGTTTGAAACTATATACATTACTCACTGTTTAGTATAGGTAATAGGCTAATAGCATGGTTTCGAGTGCAATTTGGATATAACATGCACGAGTGAGTTTTTCAAAGACCTCAAAATAGCACGAGTCCGAAGGACGAGTGCTATTTGAGGTCTTTGAAAAAATCATGAGTGCATGTTTATCCAAATGTCACGAGAAACCATGCTATTACTTATTAATAATTTACATAAAAATGTTCGAGACAATTGTAGTTTTAACTTACGCGTTTATAGCGAACATTCTACTTGCAAAGTTTTCCTGGCCTTGTTATATCACATTATACAACGCTAACAGCTTGAAAATTCCACTCAACTATGTAATTTTTGTTAGTCTTGTTTAAGGTAAATGCTTTTCCATTTAAAAATAAAGATAAAAGCCATATTTTCCACACGAAAGCAACTTTTACTTTATGTAGCGCGGCGCCATGTTTGTTTTGTTTTGAAGCAATCTGTGACCGCTACTTCTTTAAACTAAATTGCTTTAAACTGATTGGCAGATTTAATCATCACAATGTTTTTCCACCAATCAGATAAGTTTGTTACAGATTTTTGCACTGTGATTACAGAAAATTGCACTGTGATTACAAAAAAATGCACTGTGATTACAGAAAATTGCACTGTGATTACAGAAAATTGCACTGTGATTACAGAAAATTGCACTGTGATTACAGAAAATTGCACTGCTGTTTGGGATTAACTGCACTGAAATCAACCAATCACAATCGAGTAATATCTTTATGTATATTATTATATATGTTATTTATATTGTGCAAATGTTCCTGTGCTGTTTTGTACTTGTGTGTTAAGCTCTGCACTACGTGTTTTGTATTTGTTAAACCAGGTCGTCAACGTAATAGGCCTTCGCTGTGTGGACGTTCCTGTGCCGTTCTGTACTAGTGTAAATTTTGTAAACGGCAAAGGTTATAAATAAATAAATAAATAAATAAATAAAGCGGCATTGAGAATAAGATAGCAACAAACCTTGTCAAGGAAAACTTGTTGACAGCACACACGATAAGGGTAAATTTATCAAGGAAAATGTGCTTGTCTTTACGGGGTTTTACTTAGCAGAGTCAAACTCGCAATAACTCTTCTCTCATCTATAGCTAAGGAGAAAGTATGACCTGCAGACAGTCGTATTGCTATTTCTTTTAGGGTGTTGAAGTACTGTACGTCGACTACGGAAACACAGAGATAGTTCCAGTGACCAATTTACGTGAACCAACGCAAGAGAACGCCCATGTACTGTCGCTGCCTTTTCAGGTTAGCAAGTAGTGAGTTAAAATAGGTGTAAATTTTCAGGTTTTTAACGTGTGAAAATTGTGAATAATCCTTCAGGATCTTTCTTTGAAAATGTCAAACTAATTGTCATTTTACCACAATAAATGCTTAAAACATCATCTTAACCACATATTGCACTGATTTTTAAAAGAAACGAAATACGTGAAAATGCGTGCACCCTACATTACATGTAAGCCGTTATTTTTCTTTTATTGTAGGCTTTGGAATGCCAGCTTTACGATGTACCAAAGGTGATTATCACTTAACATTGATGACTGATAATTAAAGCTTTTTGAGATCTTTTTTTAACACTAAGAGATATATACATAGGATATACATAAATTTTATACATATTTTTTTATATTTAGGATGGTTGGAGTGACGATATAATCGACAAAATTTTTGAAATTGTGGAACAGGGTAGTCTTGCAGCCGAGGTAAGTTTATTTTGTTTTGCACATGGTCTAAGCAGTTGCAAGCCTATCTGTTGTTTCCAGTTAGCCGTAAGCTGACGTTATGCATGTGTACGTATGTATCAGTGTTCCAATTTTGCCCTTCATTACAATTACTACAAAGTTCCTTTCAAAAAATTGCATTAAAATGGTACTTGACACAACAGAGATGAATGGCTATCACTGTTTCAATTTTGCAGAAAAAAACTTTCTTACGAAATGTAGACCCTAAGCAACCAAAAAATGTCAAATTTCCACTTTGATATATCATTGAAACTTTTCCAAGGCGAGGTGCATGACTTTTCAGGAGAGGTGCAAAAATTCTCAGGGGAGGTGCAAAACGATCTCAGTGGAGGTGCGCACCTCCCCCACCCCTCCCCTCAAAATCCGGCCATGAGCCGTACTAATATGAACAAGCTTTAACAAACGTTTTTGTTTTCCCCATCAAGGTGCTATCTGACGGAGATCCACCTTCAATCAGTTTGTTGGTTACAGCAGAATCAGAAGGAGAACAACAAGTCACTCATCGTTTGGCATCTTATCTTGGCCTCGCTGCAAGCGAGGAAACGCAAGAATATCAAGATGACGACGCTCAAGTTGTACCTGAAACTGAACAGGAAAATGCCGATGGTGAAGCTGGAGAACACGATGGTGAAGCTGGAGAAGATGATGGTGAAGGTGGAAAAGGATTAGTTAACGGTGATAAAACGGGGATGAATGTGGAGACGGATGTGGTGGGAACTGAGAATGCTGAGAGCGAAGTAACAGTGGACATTCCAAGAAAATTGAATGTGGAGACCGATAGTGCAAAACAAGCTGCAACAAGCGAGGAAAAGCCGGAAGCCGTGGAGGAGGCAGGCCCAGTAAAAGTCGAAGATAAAATCGCAGTCGGAGAAGACGGCATTTCTAAGGACACCAATGGTGCTGATGTTACTGAAATTAAGAATACTAATTCTGAAACTGGGATAGATAACCTTAATAATGATGGCTTGAATGATACCAGTGCTGAGCAAGCTGGTCAATGCGTGCAGTGGAAGGCTCTACCACTTCAAGCTGGTTGGTTTGATGTCTATATTACTGAAGTCAAAGACCCCGATCACTTCACGGTTTGTTATTAAGTTTTAGGATTTAGTCGATGGAGATAGAGGATTTAGTCTGCTGATATATATAGGACCAATGTGGAGTAGGCTACATCTGTTTTATTCAGTATAAGCCTAGTGGCCTACTGCTCTACCCTTGAAATTCTTATATGTATTATAATTATTGTTTGTTTAGTTTCAACTTCTTGATAATGATTCTGAAATTACTAAACTGGCAGGCGAGTTAAACGAATATTACCAGGTAACGAGAATAGATTTGTACAGTATTTCCCACCAACTTTTTAGACAACCAAACACCGCGAGGTAGAACATTTTAGAACTGATAGAGCTATTTTATACAAGCAAAGTTGGTTTAATGTAGTTTTCCTTTTGTAGTAACACTGGATCGACCTCTAGGGAGAACAATTTAGAACTTATAGAGTTATCCAGTATAAATAAAGTTAGTTTAGGTTTCCTTCTGTAGTAACACTGGATCGATAAGAGATGATCCTTACTGAACCTCTAGGAAGAACAGTTTAGAACTGATAGAGCTATCCAGTATAAATAATATTCGTTTAGTTTAAGTTTCTTCCTGTAGTAACACTGGATCAATAAGAGATGATCCTTACTGGACATCTAGGGAGAATAGTTTAGAACTGATGGAGCTATCCACAATAAATTAAGTTAGTTTAGTTTAGTTTAGGTTTCCTCGTGTAGTAACACTGGATCAATAAGAGATGATCCTTACTGGACCTCTATATAGGAAGAACAGTTTAGAACTGATGGAGCTATCCACAATAAATTAAGTTAGTTTAGTTTAGGTTTCCTCGTGTAGTAACACTGGATCAATAAGAGATGATCCTTACTGGACCTCTATATAGGAAGAACAGTTTAGAACTGATGGAGCTATCCACAATAAATTAAGTTAGTTTAGTTTAGGTTTCCTCGTGTAGTAACACTGGATCAATAAGAGATGATCCTTACTGGACCTCTATATAGGAAGAACAGTTTAGAACTGATGGAGCTATCCACAATAAATTAAGTTAGTTTAGTTTAGGTTTCCTCGTGTAGTAACACTGGATCAATAAGAGATGATCCTTACTGGACCTCTATATAGGAAGAACAGTTTAGAACTGATGGAGCTATCCACAATAAATTAAGTTAGTTTAGTTTAGGTTTCCTCGTGTAGTAACACTGGATCAATAAGAGATGATCCTTACTGGACCTCTATATAGGAAGAACAGTTTAGAACTGATGGAGCTATCCACAATAAATTAAGTTAGTTTAGTTTAGGTTTCCTCGTGTAGTAACACTGGATCAATAAGAGATGATCCTTACTGGACCTCTATATAGGAAGAACAGTTTAGAACTGATGGAGCTATCCACAATAAATTAAGTTAGTTTAGTTTAGGTTTCCTCGTGTAGTAACACTGGATCAATAAGAGATGATCCTTACTGGACCTCTATATAGGGAGAACAGTTCAGAACTGATAGAGCGATCTATTAGAAACAAAAATAGTTTAGTTTAGTTTAGCTTATATATAGTAACACTAGAGCAATAAGAGATGATCCTTACTGCATGGGCGGTATGGACCTCTAAGAAGAACAGTTTAGTTTAGTTTGCTGTAATTTGGAATAATGTAATGTGATGTGATGTCACCATCTTTTTATTTCGTCAATATATCAATACAGAATCAAGCTGCCGAAAATGAAGTAACATTGGTCAAAGGAAATGTGTATGCTGTGTTATATGACAAAGACGATTGGTGGTATCGTGGTTTTGTGGAGTCTGTTATAACTGAAGAAAAAGTAACTGTTATATTCACTCGTTACAGATCCGCATTTGAAAATATGTCATTAAAGCTCTGATGAAACGAGGCTGAGAGTTGAGAAGCGAGAGTTTGCATGAGTGTTTTCTCAACTCTCGTGCCCCATTCAAACGAGACAAGAGTTGCATGGGAGTTGATGAGAGTTGACTGACTATTACTGATCAAACAAAATTTCAATCAGCTCAAAGTTGGTCAGAGTGCATGATGAGAGCGCATGATGAGAGCGCATGATCAGAGCGCATGATCAGAGCGCGTGATCAGAGCGCGTGATCAGAGCGCGTGATCAGAGCGCGTGATCAGAGTGCATGACAAGAGTGCATGAGCGGTCTATATCGTAGTATATAATTATTTAATATGGGTTTACAGGCGCACGTACTTTTCCTGGATTATGGTGGATATGCCATTGTGGAGAGGGGGGATATGCGAGTCCTGGATGAAAAATTTCTAGAGTTACCATTTCAAGGCGTCCCAGCGAAATTGGCCGGTAAGTTTTTATGATGCATGTTGACGTTTTCCATGGATGAATTTTTGCAGTGAGAACCTATACACATATTATTTAAAGAATATAGGATACTGTAGATATAGTCCAAGTCACGAAATATGCATGTACACTTTTTATACCAAACCAGCAACGGTTGTGAAAAACGCAACACTAGGGCCTCTGGCAAGAATCCAACCTGCAACCCTGAATGCAGGGCTGCATAATATGGCGGACCGTGGGACCATTGGTCCCAGAAAATTTTTGAGGTTGGCAGAAAAAAATGGAGGGGTAAAACATAAATAAGTCTCAACAGAAAAAAGTAAAGAGAAAGAAAGAATGGAAGAACAGAAAGGAAGAAAATGTGAAAAATTGACAAAAGTTATTAATTAGCTGTAGGTAGTGAACTAGTAATGTTTGACATGCAAGTAACACAAGTTTCCAATACACTGGTACAGGCACCAGGTGTTTATACCGGAAGTAACTTGACAATATGCATAGACACAATAGAGTAATTTAATTACAAAACTGAATTTATTATAAGTAATACCATGATATGAGGGAAATTAGTGATTGAGTGTCCGCGAAAGCCAAGGTAGGTTTCCACAAACCTTTCAAGGGTGAACAACACCGAATAATTCCAAAATAATAATTCTGCATTATAAACTAGGACAAACATTTAGCGTGTGCATGTTCCATATTAATCTTTTTTTCAGACACAACAGGCATGTTCAACGTACATACAAATTTTCAGCCACATCGCCATTCCATTGTATACTTTTTACAGACCCGAGAATGTTGAAAGAACTCTTTCCATTCACAGCATATCAATCTTTTGAATCTTGCAGTATTACATAACACAACATGCAAGAAATAAGACATTCGATCTGAATTCCTCCATGATTTTACATTCTTGGCGCATGATCATCAAATTACGCATACTACTAACATTGTAATTATGCAATGAATGTGTTATGTCACTGTGCACAAAATGTATTGAATGATCGCAGACTGTGTTGCTTTCACTCCTGAGGGATGCGGTCAAAAGGAGGTCTGCTATCGCAGACTAAGCATTTGCTTGCAGAAAATATTTTCAATGGCTTTGTGGTCCCAGAAAATAAATTTATGCAGCCGTGCCTGAATCGCCGATTCGCTGGGCCACAGGTTCGACTCCTGTTTCGCTTCTGCGTTGGAATACCGCAACAGCCGATATAGGAACATTGGAAATTCCCTCAAAGGGTTTGCAAGGGAGTTCTCCAAATTTGCAAAGGTAATGATGAAAATTGCAATCAAGACCAGGAACTCGAAAGAGGAACGCTTGACACACTTTATATGTAAAAGCAAACTTTTTCACAATTCAAACGAGTAAATTCAAATGTAATGGTAACAAAGTTTCCAATTATTACAAAGGGCTTTTGATAAATTCTAACCAGTTACTATAATTGTTCTCACTGTTGCATTTAATTTCTAGGAGTAAAATGCACCAAGAACAAGTGGTCGAGGCAGTCCGTTAAAGATTTCAGATTTTTCATATTTGACCAATATCTCGTGGCTAGAATCAAAAGCGGCCATACAGAGTACAACTCTAATCCCTCTTCTGAAGTAACGGTTGAACTTTGCAACACTGAAGACCCAACGAAGGATATATACATTGCCGAAAAGTTAATTGAAAATAACTCTGACGTCGTTCCTCTTGCCTAGCAGTGTAAGGCTCTATAACGGTTAGGGGTTACGACGGGAGAATTAAGATGGTTATGTGCATTGTGGAATAGTTAATGTGTTAATTTTATCATGTTTAAACGTCAATTTACAAACTTTAAAATATTGGATAAATGCAGCGTTTGTGGGAACCGGAAGACCCGTGGCTGGAGCGTTTAGTTTTGAAATTCAGGAGAAAATTTAAAGATTGGGCAAACACCAACGGATCGTCTCGAATACTAGCGGGCAAAGAGAAAATACGAAGTTTGATTCTGAGAACTTTTGAAAGTGAAGAGAACGAGTTTGCAGAGAGAGAGTTTGCAGAGAACTATTGAAAGTGAGAAACAAGAAATTCAATTTGCATCATCAATTATTTTCAATACCCAATTTATGGACAGTGTGTTAGCGACAAGCAAAGAAGAGTATCATGTCCAAATGAATGGCAAGCCATTAAGTAAGCAAGAGCGCATATTTTGAAGACAATCATCTTGCGAGTTCAAGTTTAAATTTCAAACATAATTTACAGCACCATTGTACGTGTTAGCGATTGGAGACAACTTCAAACTGTGGTGTTTTAAATATCCCGTACAGACCAAGGCCAAATACTGGACCAAGTTTTTGTCAGTGAATTTACGAATTGAAAGATTTCTGGAAGCTCAATTTAAATGTGACATGTCAACCCTTTGTGGGAACGAACGCAAAGAGACACATGCAGTACATCATCCACGGTCGCACTTTAGTCATACAAATTCATGGGAGATGCCAGTTTAAGCAGCAATGAAATTTTGATAAAAAAATGAACAAAAAAGACATGGTATGATAAAGTGGTATTTTTTCTGTACCAGACAATTGTCGTATTGGTTGATAAATGTTTGTGGGAATGCCTTCAACCCAATGTTGACCTGCAAAGCCAAATTTGGACTAATGCGCACACGGACGCTTATTATTTATGGAAGTCTATTTTCTAAAGATTCGACTGCCTTTACAATTGTTGATAAATGGAATGCGCAAGACATTTATCACATTGATCACATTGCCACGCTCATGCACTCATCGGTACACAGAAAGCCATATCACACAGTACTCAGAACATGCTTTAAATGTTCGGACACACTTACGTTGCCACATCTTTCAAAATGTTTTGTTCAAACGGTCAAAAATACATGTTTTAGCCTATGGGGCTGTTCGTATGGAGCCTGGCTCGCTTGGGTATTGGACAACTTGCATGTTAGACTAAATTTTAATCTAAGTAAAGAGAAGGGAATCAAACACCACAGCTAAAAAAACATAATGAAATTAGTAAAATTGCAAAATTTGGTTGCGAAATATTGTAAAGCTTGGAAAATATAGCCTTGCGAAGTTCGCAAATTTTGTATATGTTTGTATTACGTGCGGAAATTGTTACCATTTTAGGCTCAAAAATGGTAACAATTTCCGCACGTAATACAAACATATACAAAATATGCAAACTTCGCAAGGCTATACTTTCCGTATTTTACAAACATTTCGTAACCAAATTTTGCAAATTTACTAATTTTAATAAGTTCTTTACGGGAATGTACTTTTTTGCCTATAGATCGAAAATTATTCTAACATGCAAGTTGTCTATTAGCTTGGTTTGATTTGCAGAAACAGTATAAAATTCATTCAAACGTTCTTAGTTATGATCAAGAAAGGGAAAAAAACGTGACATGATTCATCTCGGCAATCTCGTTTTAACTAGTTCCACGGTGAATGAGCGTGAGAGGGTTCAAAACTCAAGCTTGTATTATCATAGATAAGATATCTGTGTGTTTTATACGTCGAATTTTGGTCGCGTCGAATGCAATTAAGACAATAGATAATGAGATGATATACCTCATTAAGCTTCATTATCTATTGTTTGAATTGCCTTAGACGCGACCGAAATTCGACGTATAAAACGGGTCTCAATCACCAACGTCCAACATGCAATTTAGACCGTAAACTCGAATGAAAATCGCGATATACCTTGTACCTGCATTTGTTGAATATTAAAAAGTATTTTTATATTGACAATTCTGTGCATACATTTCAATTTTTTTTGTGCTCAGCTTATGAAGTTGTTATTCCAGCAAAATTAATATATTATTTTATTGTACTCTTTATATTAAAAAGGCCTGTTTTATACGTCGAATTTCGGTCGCGTCGAATGCAATTCAAACAATAGATAATGAAGCTTAATAAAATTTATCTCATTCAACGCGGCCAAAATTTACGCGGCCAAAAATGACGTATAAAATGCCTAATATGTCACCAAAATTTCACGACAAATTCCAATTAGCTGTCTCATCTGTACAGGGTGTACATGTCGCAAAAAAGTGCCTATATATATATCACTCATTTTGAAGCAAAATGCCCTGGGTACGAGATTGCTACAGAGCAACTAATATTTGTCGTAACGACTTATACTTTAACGCAAAGTGTAACCGATTTACCAATTTATTTGGACGAAGGGAAGTTGCAAATACTTTCTCCGTACATGTACAATTAAATGAAATTCCCAAAGGTATAATAACGCACAAGAGTGATTTCTAAAGAGGAACTTTTTTGGGACACTGGAGCCCATTTCTGCCTTATTTGCATATGGTGATTGCTAGATAGTATACTTCAAAATAAGGTTTCCGTTTTTATAACGTAGAAAAAACTATCGTAACGCAAAACTATACCCTAACAGTAACCCTAACCCTAACCTAACCCTAACTTATTTTCAAAATTGAAAAAAAACGGAAACCTTATTTTGAAGTATACTATCTAGCAATCATTTGCATATTCCGCAACAAATGGTTTGGTCCATGCGAGCCTTCAAGCCGTTCGGCCAGTGTATTTCCAATATGGCGGCCAACGTGAGTCGAAAGAGTTGTGTTTTCTCGTCGATTTTTGGCCGTTTGTTGTGTGAAATACAACCAGGTTTGTCGTGTAGATGCACTTCAGATATTGTACATTTATAGTTGTAGATAAATTTGTAAAATAGTCATCAAATATAACTCTATGAGATGAATCAATTTGAGTGTACATTTTGCCAATGATTTTGGTAGTATTATTTTTAGAAACTTGATTTATATTGTCTTGTTTGTAGCATTCAACTGTGTGTCCTTGAGGCAAAGGTATCCAATCCAATGCAGAAATTTACATAGTTCAGGTTTGTATATCAGAACAGGATAGACTGTAAAGTTTTGGCTTTTTAATTTGCTGCGCAAAAATTCATGCAATTATTATGGAAAATTGGAAATCTGCGTAAAATTTTTCAAGTTGTAGAAAACTGCAAATAATTTACCAAGAATCTGCACAATATGCCTTTGTAAACCAAAAACCAAGCAGATTTCTGATTTTCTTATTTGACAAATACAAAATATTCTGTGAAAATATCTGACAAACGGTATCTTTCACATCAACTTGGATCAGAGAATTCTATAACTGCTCCACCATATTCATATTTAAATTATTTATAGAGATGATGTGTGGAGGGAAACTTAAAAGTGAATGGCGAAGAAAAAGAGCCCCGGCGTTAACTAGAGTAGGTTTGATTATTGATTATACAATCAATTGGAACATTATTGACTAGAGAATTATATGTTACTATAATTATATATCTTCATTAGTTATGTCTGGATAAACCAGAAAAATATAAAACTCGCAAAGCTTTTGGCGGAGGTGAAAAGACAAAAGTTACCAGAGCCAAGGAAGGATCATACATTTGGAAATCCCAAGGTCTTTCTGCATTTAATTTTATTTTTAAGATATGCCATTTTTGTGCTGATTTTCATCTTGACATTCTGTAGAAATTGAATTCCAAACACCGATATTGGACGTTCTTTACAACATGGCACATAAAGATTTTACAAGCAGGAAAATCATGGTACGAGGAACTGTCGTTGAAGTTGATGGAGAGCCATTTAAAACTTGGTAATGCAATAATATTAGTAATGCAATGATTGCATCCTACTTCATTATTGCTGGAGGATTTTACTTGTCCAGGTGAAATGTTGGGTATTAATGCCCACAGGTTAACAGAATTTGAGTTTAGCTCGTATGGTTTGATGTTGATTAATTTAGTACACCATGATCAGCCGGGGGCAGTTTTAGTGTAAACTATTTCTAATATATTTCTTACAGGTATGAGAAGCAAGATGTACATCATGAATCTAATGATATAAAAGAGGTATTGTAGTACAATTGCTAATTAAACCATTAAGTTGTAATGCCCCCAAATGTATTCTAGAGCTGATGATTTTATTTATCATTTTACTTGTGTCCCAATGCTTAATACTTTATTATTTTACTCTGTCTAACGGCAGACGATTTTACTTGTCAAGAGGAGAGTGCTGATGCTCAATGGTTGCTAAATGATTTACAATGGATTCAACTGTATTAAACGTTTTCTAGGGTGAAAAGGAGCCATCTGTTGACAACAGGATCTTGCAACAATTGCAGGGTGGGAAAGTACTAGGTAAGGAATGAAA